CAAGTTTTCTCCCTTTGAACTGGTGTCTGGGAGGCAGCTTCGAGGTTTTCCACACCTGCTTGGAGAAACATGGAAGAGCAAAGACCCCAGGCAATGAACATAGTCCAATACATTCTTTAATTAAGAAATGGCCTCAAGACTTTGCGGGTGTTTGCTAGAAGAATTTTGCTAAATGGGCAACAGGTACAAGGGAAGGCCTATAACAAAGGAATCTACTGGTGAATGTTCAGACTGGGTGATTGAGTGTTATTGTTACTTCCAAGTTTGCTGTTCAAATTACTGGTTCATGGCAGGGACCGTTTGAGATAGTGAGGTATGTGGACCCCATCTACTATTAGGAGCAGCACACAGAGAAGAAAAAGGAGACTCAGATAAGAACATAAGAATGGCCATACTGGGTGATACCAATGGTCCATCTAGTCCAGTATCCTGACACCGGCCAATGCCAAGTTCTTCACAGGGAAAGAATAGACAGGGCTATTATCGAGGAATCCATCTATGGTTGTCTAGTCCCATCATCTGGCTTTCAGAGTCTAGGGAAACCCAGAACATGGGATTGTGTTCCTAAACAACTTGATTAACAGCTATTGATGCACCTATCCTCCATGAATTTATCTAGTTCTTTTTGAACCCCATTGAACTAAAATTCTGTCAGCTTTTTTGATTGCTACTGCACACTGAAAAGATGTTTTCAGAGAATTGTCTACGATAACCCCAAGATCTCTTTCTTGAGTCGTAACAGCTAATGTAGACCCCATCATTTTATACGCACAGTTGGGATTATTTTTTCTAATGTGCTTTACTGCTATCATTTGAATCTTTTCAACTATTAGAACAGTTTGAGCTGCCCGATAGATATCCACTTTAGACCTCCAAAAGGGCAAATACCTTTGATGCCAGAATCCTGGCAGAAGAAAGCCTTTTCCATGCCCTTTGGCCTGCATTAATTCAGGATCAAGGCATTTGGCCTCCACAGGGTGGCAGTGACTTTTCAGAGGCTAATTTGCTCAATATTACAACTGCATGGGCAGGATGTATCAGTATGCTGTTATGATAAATTGAAAATGGTTTTTGGTCCTGTATCTTGTGGCAGCATTCCCACACATAGTGCAGATGGCAGTACGCTACACACAGAAAAGAAAGCCACCATCAATTGCTAGGCTGAACTGTCTGGAAGACTCAGTTTGCCCTGACAATCTGAGCCCCTGGTATCGGCAAATCCTTTCTTCACTCCCAGGGGAGGCTCTCAAGCTGGAGTCCTCCAGGATCTATTTTCTGCTGTTCCCACAGCTCACAGAGCTGAGGGAATTATCTGGGAATCCAGCCAACCAGAGAGTCTGCAGGGACTGTACAGGGGAATCATAAAGGTCGTTGCCCAGTATGCCGAGTGTCAGACATGTGAGATTCATACGCTGATTCTCAGGGCTCTGCCTTTCTGTCACCATAAGGATATTTCCTCTCTCTGCTGAGCGGGATTGTGGTGAGTTGCCTGTTTCTGTATTAAAGTTAGTGCTGAGGGCTCAGGAAGGGTTCCAGGTTTCAAGTCAAGAACCATCTGGGCAGGAATTCACCAGGACAGCGACTTGAACTGTTTAGTATTGTCAGAAACGCCAAGGGATTTACCTGGTAACATAAGAGCTACAAATGCTTTGGAAATAGTTTAGAAAAGTATTTGTTTTTCAGATCAGTTCCTTGTGTCTTACTGTGTCCCTCTATCTATCTCAGTAGCTTCCTTTTTTGGGTTTATGTGGATTTTCCTCTGGTTCGCTAAATTTTTCCTATTCAGGAACTTCACTGTCCTGTTAAGAATTGCAGCCAAAATCTTTGAAGTAGGCATCTGTGTAGTTGAGTTCACAAGAAGAATGTGCCACGCACTGGCCCCAGAAATGCTATTCAGGCTGATCTCTCCCTTTTCCCCGGGCAGACAGACAGAGTTTAACCCAGTCCGAGAAGATATTTCTGTGAACTGTCGCTGTGGGGTCTGGAACATGGTTTTGGTCCTGGGTGAGGGGTATCACTGTGTGGAAGGGCTGTAAGTTGTGGGGGTGGGAGGCCCATATGAACAAGCGGGCAGCACTAAGGGTTATTGGGTGGGGAGAGGGGTGTACATGGACAGGTAGAGAGCTTGGAGGATTGGGGGGCAACCAGGGAGGTTTACGCAGAGAAGCAGTTAGCACTGAGGGTGTCGGGCAGGCAGGGGATGTCTACAGACAGGCAGGTACCACTTGGGGTTTTGAGTCAGGCATGGCATACATATATAGGCTGGTAGGGCTGAGGGTCATGGGGGCAGGGAGGGGATGTACAGGTACAAGAGAGCAGTACTGTGAGTTCTGGGTGTGCGTAGTGACATGTACATGGACAGGCGGGTAGTGCTGGAGGTTGTGTGAGTAGGCAGGGGGTATACATGGACAGGCGGGCAGAGCTGGGGGTTGTGGGACTAGCAGGGGAGTGTAGATGGACAGGCAGACAGTGCTGGGGTTTGTGGGGCAGCCAGGGGGTACATGGATAGGTGGGAAGTGCTGGGCGTTGCGGAGGCTGGGAGCAGCATGTTCATGGAAAGGGGACTGTGATGCTGAACTTAAATTTTTCGCTGTGATTGTTGGTCCAAGGCCAGCTCTGGGTCATTTCCTGGCCCCGAGTGTATTGGTGGCGGGGCCTCAGGGTCTCTTTGCCCTGTGAAGCCACAGAACTGCAGACTGGGTGTCACAACCTTTATTTAATTTTGTTTCCAATTGTAGTTCTTGAATTTTAATTATGTAACTTCCGGCATTTCACTGGTGGAAAGAACCATTGATCTTTGTTCCTCAGCTGCTTCAATCTCCCATCATATTCTGACCTCCTGTTTGTACTCTCCTTCCCCATCCCAGGCTGCCCTGATTACAACAGCACGCTGGTCACCAATGTTATCTCCCTGCTTGCCAGTCATTCTGAGCTACCCCACACTCCCCACAGCTCTTCCTCTGCAGGGAGTGAGGTGCCTCCCATCACACTTGCTCCCTTGACTGGGGGGAAATCAGTGACTCTGTCTCACCTGTGAGAAATCTCACACACGACACCTGTGCTGCTTCTCTTGGAGCACCCACAGACTGCACGCTGCTTTGGAGGCTGCTACACAGGAACAATTGCGAGCTGAGAAGTATGCACATTATAAAATGAGAGCGGGCAACTCTGGGACATGTGAGGGCCTAGATAAATATAGCTGCCATGTGCAGGAGACACAGGCACTGAAACAGTGGGCCACTGGGACACAGACGATCAACCCAGGATGCTCTGGGACCATTTGCTAGCCATCTCTGTTAGCCATTTTTGGAAAGGGTTGTACATTCATTCCTCAGTGCGGAGACTTTACAGGCTCTAGTCATCATTTTTCTCACCTAAAACATTCATCCATGCAGTGTCACGGGCTCCCTCAGCCTCAAGAAATAGACACCCAGCGTAAGATTTTCAAGGCGCCACAATCACAGGATAATTTCTCCACATAGGGCTAAATTCAACACGGTCATGAATAGAAAAAAAGGCACGATCTTGCAGGCAAAATGCCTCCAGCTGACTCCGGACATGTTCATAGATTTCAAGCCTAGAAGGGACCATTGTGATCATCTGGTCTGATTTCCTGCAGGGTACAGGCCAGAGAAATTCCTGATAATTATTCCTAGAGCAGATCTGTTAGAGGAGCAACCTTCATTTAAAAATTCTCCGTGATGGAGAATCCGCTATGACCCTTGGTAAATTGTTCCAATAGTTAATTACATACACTGCTTAAAAAATGCATGCCTTATTTCCAGTCAGATTTTATTTAACTTCAACTTCCAGCCATTGGATCTTGTTACACCTCTATATGGTAGGCAGAAAAGCCTATAATTAAATATTGGTTCCCCATGTAGATACTTACAGACTGTTATCAAGTCACCCATTAACCATCTTTGTTAAACTAAATAGATTGAGCTCCTTGAGTCTATCACTATAAGGCAGGTGTTCTATTTTTTTAATAATTCTTGTGACTCTTCTGTGAATTCTCTTCAATGTATCAACATCCATCCTTAATAGTGGACGCCAGAACTGGATACAGGATTTTGGTAACAGTTGCACTAGTGCCAAATACAGTGGTAAAATAACATCTCTACCTCTCTGTGAGATACCCCTGATTATCATTCAAGAATCACATTGGCTCTTTTGGCCACAGGGTCACACTGAGACCTCATGTTTAGCTAATTATCCCTTCACACCCCCCAAACCATGATAGTCCCCCATCATGTAAGCATCTTCTTGATCTTGTTCTATGAGACACGGAGAACACATTTTCGATCTCGTCTCTACCACTCAGTATTTTGTAGACTTTTCTCATATCCACACTTATTCATCTCCTTTGTAAGGTAACAATCCCAATGTTTTCAAACTCTCTCTTAAGAGAGTTTCCCAGGGTCCTTCATCATTCTCATTGCCCTTCCCTGAACCCCTCTAACTCTGCAATATCCTGTGTGAGAAGGGTGCCCAGTACTACACAGAAGAATCCAGAGGAGGGTGAAATATTAACTGGTTGATCTCATGACATTGTATTTTCTATATGATTCCCCATCCTACGCTTCCTGGATGCCCATGTTTTGCTTAGTCTCTGTCCATGCTTGCACTGTGAGCAGGGTTTCACAGAGCTGTGTACAATGATGTCCAGATCCCTGTCCTGAGATCATACAGTTAAATTAGAACCTTGTTAGGTGTTTGAGGAGAACAAGTTTTTCCCTCCAATGGGCAAACACATTGCAGTTTTTGACATCAAAGTTCATCTGCCATCATGCTGCCCATTCACTTGCTGGTTAGCTCCCGCTGTGGACTTCTCTGGACTTGCATATAACCTAAATAAACTGGTTCCATCTGCAAATGTTGCTACCTCACTGCTCAAACCCTTTCTAGATTGTTAATAACTATGAAATATTTACTGTCCTATTTGTTATAAAGTGTATGACCCCATTGCTGTGTTTATCTCCCTTCACAGGCACCTTGAGGTTTTCTGAGTCTGATCGACGCATCAACCACCTCATGGCAGCTTTCAACCTCACCCCCTCTGACCCTTCAACATTCATCCTAATGGGCATCCCTGGCCTGGAAGCTGCTCACATCTGGATTTCCATCCCTTTCTCTATGTTCTACATTATCGGCCTGTTGGGAAATTTCACTGTTCTGTTTGTTATAGGCAAAGAGCAGACCCTGCACAAGCCGATGTACCTGCTGCTCTGCATGCTGGCACTCACAGAAATCAGCATATCTACCTCCGTCGTGCCAAAGGCACTGTGTATATTTTGCTTCAATTTGAAGGGCATTACTGTTGGTGGCTGCCTCGCCCAGATGTTCTTCCTTCACGCGGGCTCTATGATGCACTCAGCTGTCCTCGTGACAATGGCCTTCGATCGCTATGTTGCCATATGTAACCCTCTGAGATATGCCACTATCCTCACCAATGCACGAATAGCTAAGCTAGGGCTCGTGGGTTTGATAAGAGCTGTTCTCTTCATTCTGCCCATGCCCCTGCTCCTGAGCAGGCAGCCATTCTGTGCCAACCGCATTATCCCCCACACGTACTGCGACCACATGGCTATAGCAAAGATGTCATGTGGGGACATCACAGTTAATAGGCTGTATGGCTTGGTGGTAGCCTTTGTCTTCATCGGGTCAGACCTAACGCTCATTGCCCTGTCCTATGGTCTGATCATCAGGGCTGTCTTCAGGATCTCCTCTAAGAAGGCCCACCAGAAAGCCCTCAATACCTGCACTGCCCACATCTGTGTGATGTTGATGTCTTATCCTTTCTTCTTCTTCTCCACTCTGACACATCGGTTTGGTCAGAGCATCGCTCCCTACGTTCACATCATATTGGCCAACCTCTATTGCCTAATCCCCCCCATGCTGAACCCTATCATTTATGGGGCCAAAACCAAAGAGCTTTGTGACAAAGTGGGCAAATACACCTGTATAAGTTGATCACCTGGGTCCACTGACTTTAAACCTGTGTGACAAGAGTGGGAAAGGATATTTCCTTGTTAATCAAGGTTGCTTTGTCCCAGTTTGGCTGAGCTCAGCATTGTGGAAGTTCAGAGTTTCAGAAGTTCCTCACATCTAAGATCTTATTACTCCATCACCAAGGACTGCTCTCTCCGTTGCTGAGTTCCCTGTCTCTGACCATCACCTGATCTCTTTCAGTGTCACCGATCATCCCCCACCTCCACCCACCCTGTCATTTCGCCTTTCCATGACTTCCAGACCATGGGAAGATAGTACTGCTTTGTGAAGCAATGTGGCTTTGCATTAGACCCTGTGTGAACATGGTTATAAATCAGTTCAATGAACTCAAGCTATGCTTTCTGCTAGACAAAGACAAAGAAAGCAACTACAATGCTGAACTTCTTTGTCAGATGTACAGTGATCCTGTGAGCACAATTCACCTGATTTTTCTATGTCTAATCCTTTAGGAAGCCTGGAGGATACACCAAATATTTCCATTGGAAAGTGCTAATACAGGAAAACTGCTGCAGGAATTGAGGACATTGTACTAGAATTATTGGTGAGAGATGTGAAACTGTGTGTTTTTGAGAACTGTACTCTGTTACTCTGGATATGGGGGCGTATACTGCAGAATGCTATCAATCCAATTGCAACCATATGTTGTGCACTCAGCCACTATGAATTAATAAAATGGAACACAACACAGTATAGGGTTAATTGGAAAGCTGGCTTTTAGATGCAAAGTCAAAATCTAGGTGGCAGGTTCTACTAATCAGAATGGGAGGAGGGGAAAGAGAAGTAAATAAGTGAGAATGAAAAATGGTAAATGGATGGAAACCTTGAGTGTAGTTGCCTCTGATATTAGAAGTTTATTGAAAGTGAGGAAAGGTGATGATCCAGTAGTGGACACTATGACCAATGCATTTTGTAGAAGTTATAAAAGATTAGCTAATACAACGTACTTTGGAGAAGTCCTCTGAAACCATCTTGAGAGATGTTTTTCCTGACATCCTTTCTCCCTGGTTGGTGAGCAACTGGCCACTGTGAACCTGCTGTTAATTACTCAATACCGTTCCAGATGTTAGGTTACTATCTGGGATGCTCTAAGCCTATTGTTTATGTCTGTGTGTGCTTAAATCTAATAAACTGAAGTGCTGGCCAAGAGCATGCTTACTTGCATTTAATCCTTTATGAGACAGAATTGCTGTGTTCCCATTGATTTATTCCTGACACCGCCCAGAGTGAAATACTTAAATTGCCCCTGCTGTGGGTTCTTAAAACCCCAGGTAACAGACTGCTGTGTTAAATTACGACATCACCTTGGAGTCAAATAACTTACTGCTTTGCACTGTTGATTTTGGAGTAATTTTCAGCTGGAACTTTCAAAATACACACTAACCATTCCCGTTGTCGAAGACATCAAAAGTAGGTGTCGAGATAACGTCTCGGGGTTTGTAAAACAGATGAAACAGAGATTGCCGTCAAATGTCCAGGTTATAGAATCACTTGCAGTACTAAGTCCTTCACGCCCTAGATTGGCTGATATCTCATTTTTGCCATTGCTTTGTGGAGACCTTGAACAGTTGGAGCAGCAGTGGGGAGTTTTGCCTGTGGTTCACTGGCCTCATACTCAGAACAACCAAGTAGTGCAGATTTGGGTTGAAGGTCTTGAACACATGAATGCCACTGGGGACAAACTCTTTAGTGAACTTGCCTTGTTTGCTTTTTCATGTTGTTCCTATCGTTTAGCAATGCTAAAGTTGAAAGACTCTTTTCTCAGATGAACTTGATAAAAACAAACCTGTACTACCAGATGCAAGAGGAACTTTTAGAAAACATTCTTCGTGTTAGGATGTAGATGCAACAACACAAAATCTGTTGTGAACAGTTTCCACCAATGTAAGAAATGATTGCACTGGTCACTGTTGACATGTATGAGCAGCAGCAGAAGCATTCTACTTCTGATGAAGACAGCTATGATGAAATGTTGCCTTTTAGAGACTATCAGTAACAAGCTAATTCAACTCAAAATATGGACATTGACTACCATCATTGAATGGAATTAGAAATAAATAATATTATTGCTGATTTTACACTACATACATTTTGGGCATATTTGGGGCCATTGTTAACACTGTTATTCACCCATTTTTCTTTGAAACAGCTGCCAACCCTCAATTAGGATACAAGTACTAGCATTGGGGTTTCGATTTTGAATATGATTGTCATCTCATAGCTTTGTTGCTAATGTGGATGAAGTCCTGTTGGGGATTGTTTTTTTGTTTTTTTTTAACCTAATCTGTACTAGGTATCTAACAAAAGCTTTCATTTGTTACTTGTATAGACGAATGTGTTAATAAAAAAAATATTCTTTCAAGAAATAATATTGGGCTACTTTTAGGTTGGTTTTAAAGTGGTTTGGGCCTACTAATGCAGTAGAAATCTAGCAAACCACCAGGCAGAAACACAAAGGCCAGAGAATCAGTCCCAAATCCAGAGCTTGGCTGGACGCAGAGCAGCGGTGCTGAGGCAGAGCTGGGGAGCGGCAGCTGGAGCAGACCAGAACTGGGAGCTGGGTCAGCACAGACCAGCTCTGCCAATGGGGAGCCAGTGGTGTTACAGCAGGGAGCTGCGGAGCTGGAGCCAGGTTAGTGGACACTGCCTGTGCCACAAGTAGCACAGCAGCCAAGCATGAGGAGCAGCTGGGGAGACCAAGGTGGGGCAATGGGCAGAGGCCCCAGCACTGGGAGACATCATCAGAGAAGGGGGCCGTGAAGGCTGGACTCAGAATGGGGGACAGGAATCTGATAGAAGGGCAGATGCTGGGGAGAAGGGTCCTGCCACCTAGAGCCTGAGGGTGTCTGGCCCCTGCCAAGGCAAGTGTGTGACCCATGGTATCATCACAGCACAGCCAGAGCCTGAGCAGGAGGCTTGGGATGTGTGAGGAACAGACTGCGAACTTTCCTTTCATCCCAGAGACAGCTGTTTCTGATGTCCCCATGCCCACAGAATGGGGTTCCCTGTTCCTTGTTTCCTTGAACCTATCCCACTTTTTCTAAGAAATTATATTTGTTTTGAACTTAATGCAGTGATCAGTGGGTCAGTGAAGCATCCGGTGTGAAGAGAGCATCCCAGAGTGGGGACACCCTAGCCCCCGATCTTGGTGACCACGATGAGAATGGGGGTTCAACTTCCCAGGAATCCTGGGCCCAGCCGTGTCACCCTTATGAGGTCTCTGCCACACAAGAGAGTGGAAGGGGCGTCCTTGAGGTCAGGAAGGCCTCTGGGTAAAGGGAGTGGGGACTCAGACCCTTTCACTAGCCAATATCCCGGGGGTAGTGAAGAACCCAGGAAAGTTCCCCAAAATAGTTCCTCACTTACATTAGGGAATTGGGACAACCTGATGGGTTGGATTTTAGTGACGGGTAAAGAGATGTGTAACTTGTGAAATGTTCATATAAATGATAAAAGCTGAAATGTGTAACTTTAGGGAACACACTTTCTGTATAAGGTTAATGTAACATCATTGCACGAGATGGCTTCCCAGAGACTGGTTTCGTATAAAATCTTTTTCCTGTACTATTTTATTATGTGGTTAGAACAGTGAACCTGTCATTGTTTATTTGACCTCTTGAATATATTTCATAACAAGTGAAAGCTTGGTTGAGCAATTGACCATGCAACTGACAAAGAACAAGTATGAATCACTCCTTCTTCTCAGATTCAGTATTTAGACACAATGAAGGCTCCAACAGAAATAATTGTTCTGAGCAAAAATGCCAATGAAATTTATAGGCCTTCAGCATTAAAAAAATTAATGGAAAATTCTAGTTTTCTTTTTCTCATTGTGCTCCAAAGAAATATTCTGGAAACAGTAAATGCTGTTTCACAACTGCTACAATCCCAAGACACAAACCTATAAAAAGCCGCGGTATTACTTCCCAAAACCACTGAACTTGTAGCTACATTTCAAATTGAGTTCAAAAAGCCAAACATTCAGCAAGTAAATTATCAGAAAAATGGGGCAGACGAATCAATTATGAAGAGAAGTGCCTGAGAGAGGCAAAAAGGCAGAGGAACAGCACATTTTGTGGCAGACCAGGGAGGAGAGCAGACATGCTTCCGGCAGCTCCAGGGGAGATGAGCTGAGGGAAGGCAAAATCTCCCCCTGAACAACTAACCAAAGGTCCCCTCCTGAGGGAAGGGAGGGCCTGCTGCAGAGACAGCCTGAGAGAGAAGCATTCATCTCTCATATGAATGCTGGACTTGATTGATCCACTGTATTTGTTGTTTGGACTACTCCATCAGGGGAGAGACCTTGGATAGCGCTGACCCCAGGAGGCTGGGCCAAACCACAGGAAGATTCACTTGCTGTCTGAGAGGAAAAGTGAATGACCTCGCTACATGCAGACACCAGAAGGTGCCTTGGGGTGAGCTGACACCCTTCATGCTGCCTTACCCCAGAGTAAGACTTTGGGACATTCTCAGGGAGGCCAATGCTCAAACCACTGAGCTATCCCTCCCCACCCAAAGGCCTGCCAATGTCATAGGTGATTCATTGGTGCAAAGGCCAAAGAAAGGGAGACAGCAAACTAGGGAAACTAGAATAAGCAAAGTTGTGTCTTGGTCTTTCTCATTGACATCAGAATATAACATTTTTCGAGTACAGTGAGACGGCAGATGCAGCTTTCTGCTTTCCTCGCAGGCAGTTTTCCAGTGGTTTGAGAGATCCTGCATTCACCAAAAAGGAGTAAGAGACTGGAAAAATAGATGAAAAAAGCTTCAGAAACATTCAATCTCCCATACACAAGCAGTGTCCTGAAAGATGGCATTTATTCAAACTGTCAAAAGAAGTGGGCTCTGTACTGACACAGTTGTCAAACTATGCTGCAAGAATCCCCAATGTACTGCTTTACTTGGCTAACCAAGGAATTGCACTGCGGGGGCAGGAAGAGAGAGAAGAATTAGCAGACCTTGGAAACTTTCTGTAACTATGCAATTTGTTTTCACAATATGATGAACCATTCCCAAAAAAATAACAAGAAGAAACAAAGGGAAAAAACAGAGTGGTACTTTCAATCTCACAAGCCACTCAACTCAAAATGAGCCTTAACAATTTGCTCCTGATACTGTGAAAAGCACAATCATTGAGAAAGTTCAGGAGAATGGGTTTTGTACTGTTCTTGTTGACAGAGCACACAGTTTTAAACAAGGAGAAATGACA